ACTAGACTTTAAAGTCAGGCAGGCATCTGGTTGAAAGTCACTGTGACCCCGAGATCTGTAGTACCTTATCCTAACTATTATTTTATCTGAAAACTTAAAATATTAACCCTGCCAATATCAAGCTATGGACAAGAAAGATGGCTTAATAGTAAACCCAGCAGTAAAGATATTTGCTGTGAAGCCTGAAAACCTGAGTTCATTTCCTGGGTTCCATATAGTGGAAGGAGAGAACAGTCTCTCACAAATTGTTCTCCAATCTCTAATGTCCACATGCACATATGCACACACGAGCACGCGTGCGCACACACACACACACACACACACACACACACACACACACACACACACTCACACACTAAATGTAATAAAAACATCAGGTTGTGGCATGTAAATCATCTAACAGAAAAATGGGAGTTACATATTTTTCTTAAAAAAATGTTACTATATCTCTACATATGTTACTATCTGGATGTTTTATATGTAGGGTGTAGATACTCCTGTTTTTATAAACTCAAGCATGTGCATAACCTTTTATATACTCCCATCTCACAGTGAAAGGACTAACAAGTATAATTAGTACTTGTTTGTTTATAGATGGATTAGTAGAAATTAGCTTAAAATACTGATAGTAAGTCACGGATGTGATCATATGCATATACATATATACATGCTACAAAGACAGGCTCATTAATAGGTGAAAAAGTAGGTAGATAAATGAAAGACAGAATGATCTAGGCTTATGCAAACAGAGGAGGGAGAAAAACGAGGTAGGGGACTTTGTGAGGACATGGGTTTCTAGACCATGTGGAATTAAGTCTGATAGAAGGTGGCCAGTGTGTGACTACAGAAAGGAGGTGTGATGCCGAACGGCATTAGGAGAACCACATGGTGGCTCACCAGTTAGGCTGGAAAGAGCATCTGGGGAGTGGGGCTGGGACTGCTAGGAAGAGATCAAACAAGTACAGAAGATAAATAGGGACCAGACAGCTGAGGTCTAATAAATAAGCCCCACAAGGAGCTTGACTTTATCCTGGGGGCAACTGGGAGCCACTAACAGTTACGTTTCAAGTGGGGGGTGGTGACGGGATCTGCCATGCTCTTTAGAGGAGGAGTTTGCCACTTCCACAGGACAGCAGCAGAGCACTGGACCAGTGAAAGCAGCTAGCAGACAAGGCTGTGGCTGACAGCAAGTATTAGCAGCCTAGACTCGAAGCCACCCTATTTGCCCACGTTCTGTGAGAAGCCAGGTAGAGCAGCCCTGAGACCTCGCTTCTAGTAAAGCAAATATGGTCTGAGCCCCAGTCCCTAGGAGGTACACCTTTCCCTGAAGCAAGTGAGATCCTTTTGGAAGTTGCATTAAGTCCCTGAGGCCACTGGGGTGCCATTAAACTCCTGCTTCAGCACACTGAGTGGAATGGAATCTCAGCCTGCAAATGAGTATAACTGATGTTGGCTTCTAGCGAGTGTAGTCTTAGAAACAGCGTACGTCTGGAAAGTCACTTGGGTACCATTTGGAGTAGTGAACTGTGATTTACTTGGCCCTACCCTAGTGGCCTGTATATGCCAATATAGCTTCCATGGTCTTTTCTGCTTTGTTCCAGCAAATAACTTATGGAATGAAAATATCCATTTAAAAATATATTTTCTGTATCTTATTCATTTTCTTGGTGAGTGGGGATTATGGAGGTCAGTATTTATTGCCCAAAAATGTGTCATTTAACTGAAAGTAGCAAGTCATAACCTAAAAATGTACAGTTTAAATTAAAGCTACAGGTCATAACCCAATGTATTTTTTCTTATCGACTGTATATAATAGCTGAAGTTGAGTAAAGTGTACTTTTATACAGAAGAAACTTAGACTTATTTCAGAAGGAAATTTTAAGTGCTTAGTATTTTTATCTTTCTCTGCATATCACTGTCATTATTAATTATTTGTTCTCTGATGTACAAATATAGAAGGAATCCTACCCATGAGATTCGGTGTTTAAAAAGCACAGTAAGCTTTAATCCCAGCACTTGAGAAGCAGAAACAGATAGATCTCTGAGCCTGAGGCCAGTTTGGTCTACCTAGTGAGTTCCAAGCTAGCCAGGGCTATGTAGAGACAGACCCTGTCTCAGAAAAAAATAAAGCCATATAATCATCCTGATACCTCCTGTGTGGTCCCAGTGTATGTTATAACCATCCTTTTATTCCCATAGAATCATCAGTACGAACCCAATACTTACTGTTCAATGAGTATATGATTATCCTGTGCAAATGAACATTAACATTGATGCTTGTTTATTGAAACTGCAATGTTTGGAGTATTAATAGTGTGAAAGAGTTCCTTGGCCAGGAGAGGTGTTCTGGAAACTTAGAAGATGTACTATTCTAAAATATACAAAAGAAGAAACCACAAACATGAGTCTGTGTGATGAGTGCATTTGAAGCTACCTTAGGAAGGGTGGTCATTGTACTTTCTGAAATACTACTTCACACGATGTTTAAGAAGCTTCTTAAGCAGGATTTGAAGATGAGGAAATTATATTTTAGAGTAGGTAGGTGAGCTGTCCAGAGTCCAGACAATTCTTAATTTATGCATCAAACACTCTATTCTGGCCTGGGAGGTGGCTCTATCCATAAAGCACTCACCTAGCAAGCATGAGCTCCCGAGTTTGGATCCCCAGAACCCATGTAAAACATCAGCATGGTGGTGTGCTCTTCTAATCCCAGTGATGTTGAGACTGGAGGCCAAGAAAGAAGGAGGCCCCGGCTTGCTCGGCAGCCAGCCTGGCCTACCCAGCAAAGTTTCACTTCAGTGAGAGACCCTGCTTCGAACAAAATTGGAAGGTGCCTGAGGAATGACATTTGGGGTTGTCCTCTGACCTCTGTGCACATATATGCATGACTGCACATCCCCAAGTGACACCCCTACTGCTGTGTTTTCTGATTGTTAAGCCAATATTTAAATGTTCAGTAGCAAGTAAATAATAGGAGAAGCAACCACTGTGTGTTAGTCATGAATCCACTTGTAAGCAATGAGCTCGCATTGAAGACTGTGTGATCTGCCTACACATTTGGTGTTTAGCCCACTCATTTGCTATACAATGTATCCTCTCAAAATTGCCCTTTTTTTTGGTTTTTCGAGACAGGCTTTCTCTGCGTAGCTTTGTGCCTTTCCTGGATCTCGTTCTGTAGACCAGGCTGGCCTCGAACTCAATAGAGATCCACCTGCCTCTCTGCCTCCTGAGTGCTGGGATTAAAGATGTGCGCCACCACTGCCCCACTTATTTTTTATCCTAGAAACAAGACAGGTTCTGAGTACAAAATTTAGAAATGTACATTGGCTTCATAGATATACCATGACTGTGATTGACTGCTTCAGAGGAAACATCTTAAATTTTTTTAATATACCATGACTGTGATTGAATGCTTCAGAGAAAATTCTTAATTTAAAAAAAAAATCAGATATTATGTGTGCCTGTGTGAACCACAGCACACATGAGGAAGTAAGAAGACAAACTGCCTCTGTCAGGTCTGTCTTCTACCATGTGGTCCTGGGGACCGAACTCGGGTCATCAGCCTTAGCAGCAAGCCCCTTTACCTGCTGAGTCACTCCTGTAGCCCAATTTTTGTACTCCTTAACAATTTTAGGCTTTCTAAAGTATTAAAAAATTAAATAATTAAAAGTATTTTTGTTGTTCCATTTTGTACTTTCATAAAAGAACATGAAAACAAAAATCTCATGTCAACACCACCACTAGCAATCTTTATTCTGTTGCAGAGAGGCACCCCTGAAGGGTGGGGCAGCTCTGCTTTGTTGTTGGAAACAACACTGTAGAGCATCTTTGCTAATGAGCTTCCTACATAAACCCCTTATTTTTCCCTAGAGTAAAATGTTGGCAGTAAAATTCTGTGTATTGCAGTGTATATCACACATCTTAAACACACACACACAGCTGTTCATTTCTGAGCTTGATCATTTTTAGAAATTTAGAGATGCTTGCTAGTTAGACCATTGAGTCGTGTTTTTGTGTGGCACAGCTCAGTGGTAGCAAAATGAATGATGGAAGGGACGGACTCCGTGATGTGTGTGCACAGCGCCTGCTGTTCATTGACGGACAATGTGGACGGCCAACCAAGACAGGGCTGCTCTCAACCACACCTGTGGCAGAGAGATCTTCCTCTTTCAGCTTTGTATGAAGAATTTCAAGTGCTGCTGTTTATTCTCCCATGAAATAAAATAATGAGAGCCTGCTCAGAGGCCCATTATGAGAGCCCCATTAATAAGGACATCAGGGAGCATTTTAAGTCCTTGGAAGTAACTGCAATACAGTTTCTGAGCTATCAAGAACCTTAAGGTTCAACTAATATGATCACTTTATTTTATTTTATGGAGCGAGAACAAATATTTGTTAAAATTTGCTAAGGGAAAATAAGAAAGAACTCATGAGAGTGGAAAGGGCTCCAGGGAAGAAAATTCTCCAATTGTGTTTTGCATATTTCATGAAAAGACATGAAAACAGTGTGTTTTGTAGGCTAAAATGGAAAACTCATTGGCTGATATTTTCACACAAATGCATACCTTTGATCTTAGTTTTTTCTGAATTGCTTATGCACTCTGAAATTTAAACTTCTTTACTATAATATAGTACAATTGAAATGGTCAACCATTTTTTTTTAATATTTATTTTTTGAGTTTGTGCGTGTGACATGCGGCGGGGGGTGGGGGGGGAGGCAGAGGGGAGAGATTGCGAGAATGTGGCTTCCAGAGACCAGAGGCATTGGATCCCCTGAAGCTAGGGTTACTGATGTAGGAGCTGGGAACTGAATCTGGGTACTCAGGAAGAGCAGCACTAAGCCATTTCTCCATCCCTAAAAATGGCCAAATACAATGTTATTGATGACGGTGGATTACAGTGCGAAGATGGAGCTGATTCCACCCCTGCCTTATGGAAATGACGTTCTCCTACGTCACTGAGTATATCACTGAACAAGATGTCTTTCCACTCTGTTCCAGGTAGCAGTTTTACCACATCATCAGGATTATATGCAGGAAATAATTCACTCACCAATTCCTCTGGATTTAACAGTTCGCAGCAGGTAATTTAATTGAGAATTCAACTTCTGAAACATTTAAAAATACAATATGATTTTACATAAAGGACGGATTGTTTGTATTAAGCCATGAGAACTTTCTTAAGCTTTTTAAGCATTTTTTTTCTTTATACAATCTCTATCGCAGTCATTTATGTTGAGTCTTACAGTTTTCAGATGGGTTTCATTTTGTTTGTATTGGGGCATAGAATGGAAGCTATGAAGAATGTCTGTGACCTTACCTAAAGCTTGCTTGCAAATCTGAGCTCATGAGGGAATATGTACTTGCTTATATGAGTTCACAAAAGACATAGAAACACAAGCTTTTATGACTTTACTTTGCAATGTAGGAAATAAACAGTAGTGCTTTGATGGACGACTCTCTTGTGCTTTGATTTGGTAGGACTATCCATCTTACCCCGGCTTTGGCCAGGGTCAGTATGCCCAGTATTATAACAGCTCCCCGTATCCAGCACACTATATGACAAGCAGTAACGCCAGCCCAACAACACCATCGACCAACGCCACTTACCAACTCCAAGAACCACCTTCTGGCATCACAAGTCAGGCGGTCACAGACCCCACAGCAGGTAATCACGCGTTTTACTTAGTTCTGGCTCAATTCTTAGGCTCAACTGCAATTTTATGAGGTTATAAACTCAAGCAGTGGGTTGCGCCCTTTTGGAAAATTTTCATAAACACTTAACTACTTTGGACTGCGCAATCGTGGCACCACCTTTGTCATTGTTTATTGGTTTGAAATTTTTTTAATATAAGGTATGTAAACTTCTCAAACGTGAGAGATTTTATTAATTTATTTGACAATAATCTCAGTTTTCATGCTATAGTATACATAGCACATAGCCTTTAGAAATGTACTTAGAAATAACTACTTATTATTATTGATAACTAGATATGAGACTAATTTAATACCATATATGGAATATCCAAATAAATTATAGTATTTAGGATTTAACAGTTTTTATCATTACATAGTGTTTTCCATGATAGCAGTGCATTGCTGAAAGTTTTTTAAAAAATGAAAAATTTCAAATAACACCAAAGGGAAATTGTGTGGACCAAGAAGCCCGGCCCATCCTTCCCTCTCAGGGCATACTGTGGATTGTGTAACAGTGTGTTTTGTGTGGCCTTTTTCAGACTTCTGCCCAAGGCCTTGCAAACAAGTGCTTCCCCATCTGTGGCTCTTTTTCTCCTTCGTCTTTTCACTTCTTTCCCTGTACTGGTTTCTTCTTTGGGGGACAAATGACCCTCAGCATTATGTGTTCACCTTCCTCAATTAACCTTCTATTTCTGGTATTTTCTCTCAAACCTCTCACTCCATTGTCCTAACTTGTACAAATGTAGCCCCCTATTTCATGGATTATGAGCCCAGCTGTTATTCTCCCAAAGTAAGAGTTTGTTGCTGTAGACATACAGAAGAAATTCAAAGAATCCCTTCACTAAGTTTGGGGCACTAACTTGCCTTTCTTGCTACTCTGAATGAAAAAGAAACTTTAGTGGTTAAAAATTCATAACCATGTGAAAGAATTAGAATGATTTATGAAATATTACCTGGTGACTTTTGAGATAGAGATAAGTATTGAACTTAACAAATGTATACTTTTATCCAAATCATTTCGGTGTGATTCATTTTCTTCTGAATGATGGAGTCTATTGAGCTAAAGCCAGCATCCTGTAACCCTGGGAAGCTGTAGTGTAGCTTCTGCCTGGTATGTGTCACTAGCCTTTCTCTGTCGTTACATGCATGTGGTCCTCCTCTCAACCTCCAGGACAGCTGTTTTCACCTGGTTCATTGACTTCTTTGTTGGAGTGAACACAGAAAGATAACTGGCAAGGGTTTTTGTTCGTTTGTTTGTTTGTTTTGTTTGTGAAGGAAACATATAGAGATCCATTTGTTTTATACTGTGCATTTTTAAATAATATTTTTATTCTTTGAGAACTCAATGTATTTTTATCATATTTACCCCAAACCCTTCTCAGATTCATCTCCACCTCCCCATTCATCCAACCTCATATTCTCTACCATCTCTACCTTTGTCTGTATTTCCATCTCTTTAAGCCCTGCAAATACAATTTGTGTTGTCTGAATACTCTTGGGGTTGGGGCCTGCCTGGAGAGTGGTAGACCCACCAGGGTCCAGATCTTTAAAGCCGACTCTCCCTCTTCCAGTAACTATCCAATGCTAATGTTTCTCAGACAGGGATAGGGCTTTGTGCCCAATTTCCCCAACTCCATGATGGGATTTTTGTCTGGATGAAACTGTTCAGTCTTGTGCACACTGTCACAATTGCTGGGAGTTCCTCTGTGTAGTTGCCCTGTTGTGTCTGGAGAATACTATTTCCTTGGAGACATCCACTAATTCTGGCTTTCACAATCTTTCTGTCCCTCTTCTGCAATGACCCCTGAGTCTTTAGGAGAGGAATGTGATGCATAGGTCTCATTTAAAGCTGAACACTCTGTAGCTACTTATTCCTGATACCTTGACAATCTGGGGTACAAGTGTTTGTGTATATGTAAGTTTTTCACTCATTTGGGGTAAATACTTAGAAGTATGGTTCTGGATTATATGCAAAATTATGATGGGTTTTGGTAGAAACCATGAAACTGCTTTCTAAGATGACTACCATCTTGCTTTCTCACCAATGACATTCCAGTTGCTCCACATTCTAGTCAACATTCCATGTTGTTGATATTTTGGATTTTGGCCACAATCATAGATTTACTGTGGTATCTTGTTTTCATTTGCTATTCTCTAGTGGTATATGTTCCCATGTGGAACATGTTTTCATATGTACTGATCAGTACTGTTGTCTGCTTTTAAATCAGATTGTTTTCCTACTGTTTAAATAAGTCTTTATATGTTTTGGCTCCAAGCCTCATGATGCATACATATTTTACAAATGATTTTGTCTAGTACGTGGGTTTCTAGTGACAGTATTTTTCACAGAGAAAAATTTCACTCTTAATGAAATCTGCCTTACCAGTTTTTTTCATTAATCACCTTTGATATTGGATCAAAAATTTATTGCCAATCTCAAGATGGTTAAGAATGTCTCTTATGTTACTCCCTGTGTGGTTTGGAGCTTTGTATTTTACATTGAAGTAGTAATCAGAATTGGTTTTTGTGCAAGATGTCGCAAGACTGTAGATCCATTCTGTTTTACATGAGGAGTTCCAGTTGTCCTGGTATCACGTAAGAAGACTTTTCTCCCTTATACCGCATCTGCTCCTTTGATAGACATTAGCTGACTGACAAGAATTTCTGGGCTCTGTTTTCTGTTCCTCTGATGTCGATTCTCTCTTTCCAGTGTATGTTGTCTTGATCGCCATAGCTCATCAGTAGGTCCTCAAGCCAGAAAATGTCAGTTTTGTGACTTAACTCTTCTCCAAAATTATGTAGTCTTTTCAAAGCTTTTTGTCTCATTTAAACTTTAGAATCAGTTTGTCAATATTCATAAAGGAAATGTCTAGAGTAGTGGTTCTCAACCTTCCCAATGCTACGACCTTTTAATGCAGTTCCTCGCCGGGCGATGGTGGCGCACGCCTTTAATCCCAGCACTCGGGAGGCAGAGTCAGGCGGATCTCTGTGAGTTCGAGGCCAGCCTGGGCTACAGAGTGAGTTCCAGGAAAGGTGCAAAGCTACACAGAGAAACCCTGTCTCGAAAAAAAAACAAAACAAAACCAAAAAACAAAAAAATTAATGCAGTTCCTTATGGTGTGGTGACCCCCACCCAACCCAAACCATAAAATTATTTTCATTGCTACTCCATAGCTGTAATTTTGCTACTGTTATGAATCATAATGTAAATATTGGTGTTTTCTGATGGTCTTAGGGAACCTCTGTGAAAGGGTCATTTGACCACTGGAGGGGTCACAACCCACAGGTTGAGAACCACTGGTCTAGACTTTCACTTAGAATTATGTTGAATTTCTAGATCAACTTGGTACAAACTAGTGTTTTGACAATACTGTATCTTGTTATCCATGGGCCTGGCATATCTTGGGTTTCTTCCATCTGGATGCTGTACTTTCCCTCAAGCTGTTCCTGTAAATGTCCTCTCTCACTCCCCCTCCTTTCTCTACCTCTGTCCTGCTGACATAAATGATGGTGTGTGAGAGCAATAATCTTATTTGTCACTTTTTATGTCTTCACCCTGGTACGATGCCTTATTTCAGAAGTTGTTCTTTCCCCTCTTAAGGGAAGAGGATCATCCTTAAGTATTGACAAGGGGGACAGTTGTCATTTGTGAACAAAGAGTTTATTTCTTCCACCATACCTATGTATTTCTCAGTTTGCTTTTGATTAGCTAGACTTTCCAGTGTAGTGTTGAATAGGGGTGGGAAAGGAGTTGACTTCTTCCCGTCTTTATTGTAAAAGCAAAGCATATAGTTTCTCACTCTTTTAGTGTGAGGTTAATTGTATCATTTAAAAATATATTTGTATTATTTCTTTAACATTATATTTTGGTCATATTTAATCCCCACTAACTCCCCCCCATAACTTCACCCATAGTCACTTCACCTCTCCCTGCTGTAACTATGTTTTCTTTTTGAAAATAATCCATTGACTCCAATTAGTGCTGTTCTTATACTTCTGACTATGAGGCCATCCAGTGGAATATGGGCACTGTCAGTATCTTTAAATGGCCTTTAGCAAGAGAAGAACCTTCCCTTTGACTCTACTTTATCATGAGTGGGGCTATTGGGTTTTGTCAAGTGATTTTTTCCACATCTGTTGAAATGTTTGTAACTTTTCTTCTTTAGCATATTGATGTGATGGATTGCAGTTATTTCATTTTCCAATGATGACCCAACCTTGCATACCTATGATATTCCCACTTGGTCATATTGTATAATTCTTTATATACATTTTTGGACTTGGTTGCTGATACTTTCCTGAGAATCTCCACATTTATATTCATGAGAGATCCTTGTCTAGTTTTCATATCCTGTGATGTACTTGTCTGGTTTTAGTATTAGCATAATGCTGGCCTCATTGCCTAAGCTGGGAAGCATTCCTTCTGCATGTGTTTTCTAGATGAGTACAGAGAATCCAAATAGTTTGTTCATTAAATATTTGATAAAATTTACTAGTGAACTCATCTGGGTCTAGTGTTTTCTCTTTGGATCTGTAATTAATTCACTTATGAAGGTCTGTTTAAATTATCTGCTTTATGGGAGTTTCGGCAGATTGTTTTGCTCAAGGAATTGTTCCATTTCACCTAGTCTACCTAATTTGTGAGCGTAGGATTGTTTATAATATTACATTTTGTTTCTGTTTACTTTATTTTTTTGAGACATGTAGCCCCAGCTGACTCCAAACTCTTGACCCTTGCCTCAGCCTCAAGGGCAGTAACCATAGACATATGTACTCCTGACTCATGATATTTTTATTGTTACTTTAATAGCTGTAAAATGTCTAGTGATGATTTTCTTTCATTTGTGGTATTAGCAATCTGTGCATCTTCCCTGTTCATCAGGGTTAGTCGGGCTGTGTGACAAATTGTTAACTGACAGGTTAGTAGGGCTGTGTGACCAAATTGTTAACTGACCAGTTAGCCAGGCTGTG